CTAAGATGCTGTGGAAACTGGACACATGGTCCAGGATCTATAAGTCCGTTTTCGATCGATCTCTGGTACTCAACGCTTCCGTCTTCTCAATGCTCTGGTATGCTGCCTCCATCTGGCCCCAACAATGCACACGGTTGGAACCCTCAAGAAACTACTTGTGGACAGGTAACCCGTCTAGAACAAACTACATAGCAAAAGTGGCATGGTCTCACCTGATCCAACCAAAGGACAGAGGAGGACTGGGCTTATTGGACCCGGCCACGCAGATGAAAGCTTTGCAGATCAAGTGGGTGGTTAAGCTGCTCACCCAAGCTGACCTGCCTTCGGTCACCCTAGCCCTGTACTGCATCAGGCAGCTACCGGTGGCCAGTACTCCACCGAACATGCAAGGACTTTTCTGGCTGATGGCCAAAGCTTGGGCGGCTCGCCGCGGGACCCCCAGACAACAGGGAACCCTCAGTAGGAACATCTGCAGCAACGAGGACAGAGGAACAGCCAGGACTACTGGATGTACCTTATCAAGTCATGGAGGGAGATCTTCCCGGCCAAGGTCCGAGAACCAGCAAACAAAGAAGGGGTGTTACGCCAGCCCCTCTTTTGCAACCAATGCATGAAAGATCAGACAGGCAAACCATGGACACTCATGACACAGGACACACGGTGGACCACCTGTTTGGAACATGGAGTGTGGCAGATCAAAAATCTTTGGAATCACCATTTCAACAGATGAAAACACTATCAGAACTCAGAGAGACGCTCAAGGGATGCCACGTTCTGCAGATAAACCTCAATGACATGCTGACATCAGTTCCCCAGGAATGGCTACAGCTGCTTCAAGGACCTGCTGAATGGAAGAAGGGGGACTGGGGGACTTGGACCAGGGAGGACCCCCCAACAGAGGTGATGTCCTTCGTTAGAAAGGAAGGACCCTCAGATCAGTGGGCGCTGTGGACAATGCACGACATTCAACAACCAGGTCGTACAGTGAGCACGGTCTCCCAAGTCATCCGCGCAAGGGTGTCGGCCAGACCACATCTACTCAGGAAAGTGCGAGTGATTGAAGACGAATAATACAGAATTTACGGTTCGACAATGACTATACAAGACCTGGAATTCGACCCAGCAGAATGGGCCTGGAAAACATCTTCCACCATTTCAATGGTGTCTCGCCGTACCAACATCCTAGACTATACTACAAGGCTGGTCTACGGACTGAGAAGACGTTCGGTTAACACACAGCAGATACTAGCACGGCGCTGGGAAAAGCATGTCACCAACGGAATGGGAAACCACACCACAATAACCTGGAAAGTTCCACTGTCCATCAAAAACACGAAAGTGAGAAGCATGCAGTGGTTGATCTACTACTATGCACTTCCGGTCAACCAATGGATCAGCAGACGCCGATCCCCAGCAGGCCGGGCCGACTTCGATGAGATCTGTGCGCTCTGCGATGAGGGCACTCCAGAAGACCTCCTACACTGCTTACCAACCTGCCCGCCGGCAGCACAACCAGATCGGCAAACCTTTGGGAAGCAGCCACATCTACCCCCCTGCCGGATGATCCGGTGCTCACTCTTACAGGACGAAATGAACCACGTCTGCTGGAAAGGTGGCAACGTATACTTTACCGAGGACTCCGCCCTCTCACATTATGGAAGATCTGGAAGAAGCGCTGCGAGCACACAATCGCCAAACAGCCCGTGTCACTGAATGAAGCATTAGGGGGACTCATACAAAATCTCCTTGCTGAGTACCAGTCTGATTGGCGCCGCAGAAGGAAGCGTGTTCGGGAAGACCCAGCCAAAGAACAAGACATCATTGACAAGTTCAAAAAGGAAGTACTGGGTAATGGCAAGTTGGGGACCATAATGGGCAACACTCTCAGACTCGCCTGGGGAACATCGACGGGCCAGCAGCTCCACGATGACTGTGTGTCAATCGTCTCTCAGACTTTTTCAGACACAAGAGAGGCTCTTGCGAGCATCTGAGACACCGACGGAATCAAGGAAACCAAGAAGCGGAGAGTACCAGGGAAAAACACTCACGGCATCCCAAGCACTTCACCCTGCTCTCGTTAAACAAGCCAAGCTGACAGCCTCACAGCTGAGAGGAGCACGCATGAGCCAGACCCCAGGGGTTTAGGGTTTAAGAAATGTCTTTGGGTAGGATACATCGAGACATAGGAGCAGGCATGAGCCGGACCTCAGGGTTTTAGGTTTTAAGAAAGGTTTTTTTGGTAGGATACATTGGGATATTTCTGAGATGAAAGTCTGGGACAGACATTTTTTCTGTTGCGAGCGGAGGCTCGTCAGTGAAACTGGGTAAGGCTCCCAGGATAACCCCGGGTTGATTTGTGCGGTCCCTGGCCTCGATCTATCTTTGGAATGTTAAAAAGGAGATTGATTGCCAAAAAAAAAAAAAAGAAAAAAAAAAAAAAGAAGAAGATGGAACTCCATAAGTTACTTGGCCGTCAATTGAAGGTAACTTTGTCTTATGAAACCCAGTTGGAAAAGCAAAGCGGAGCAAAGCGAAGCAAAGCAAAGAAACACAAAAATGACTTTGGAGCAAAGCTGTACGAAAAACAGCTCCTGGGAAGGAAAACCACAAGAACAATCGACTGTCAGTTTTTTTTGAAAAGGCATCTGCAGAAAGAAACATAGAAAAAGGGTTTTTGCTGTGATGAAAGATTTTACCAAAAGTCCAACAAAACACTCTGGCATAGTCATGCTTTTTCTTGTGGACGTGTGTATCGCAAACATGACAACACACAACACGACCTCGCTAAGCTCTCTGCTCAGGCGGATCCATGCGGCTAGGGTCGGGACAACGGTCATGCCATGGGGTATCCATGGCTGAGTGGGTGTGTAGAGTGGATTTTTTGGGCTGTGACAGATCATTGCGAGGAGTCGAAAAATTGTGCCTTGGCCTGAGTGCAGGCCGATGTGAGCAGGAGAAGTGGACCCTTGAGTTGGTTGCTGGACACAGCATCTCCAACCAACTGGGAAGGCCTGACTCTCGGTTGGTTGAAGATGCTGGCCCAGCCAAAGACGCTGAGGCCCAGGGCACTTACAGCTGGGCCCGGTGCAGAATCTGGAAGGGGACCTTGGCAGAGGAACTGGGACTGAGAGAAGCTACTCCTGGCTGGCTGCGCGCAGGCACCCAGCAAAAAAGGAAGAGGCCAGCCTCATCCCACACATTCTGGCTGGCAGGACGTGGGAGCGCTGCTCTTGAGCCTTCTCAAGCGGAGGAGAGCCGGGCCGGAGCTGGAAGGAAGAGGGCATGGACGGAGCGCTAGGCTGCAACGCAAGGCAGGAAGGCAGCAAGCAGCAGCCATTGCCGGGCTGCTTGCTCGCTTGGTCGATGGAGGGGAGCGGTGGTCCTTGGGCGAGGGTCTTATTCGGGGAGGATAGGGGAGGAGTGGTGTGGTAGGGGCACTCGCCTGTGATGAAGAAGTGGCCTGTTCTCTCAGAGTCGGCATGCGTCATCGCGCTGATGATCTTCGTTGCAGACCTGTTGTAGCTAGGAGTCTAGGTCCAGACCAGCTGTCTGTCAGTAGTCTGGGCACCGAGCGCCAATACAGGAGAGAGCTACATGGTTGACATTGGTGATTGGAGGTGAGATGGAGGCTTTCATTATCATGTGACTTCAATGCTTTGCTTGTGTACTTATTTGCTGTGATCTCGGCCTGCGATCTGCTTTCAGTTTGGCCTCATCTGGATCTCCGCGGAATGCTGCAATCTGGTTTATTGTCATTCGCATTGCTCATTTCCTTGCATTAGTTTCTCAATACCTTTCTCGGCCTTCTGGCTAAGATCAAGTGTAGTATCTGTTCTGATCAGTTTAATATCTGATCCGTGGTCCGTCGGACCACAAAAAAAAAAAAAAAAAAGTTTCTCAGATTTACTGCCGTTCTTGTCAGGGGTTTGGCCTGACATTCTGCTACCGTCTTCACCCGAATAGAACGCCTGGTCGTTATAGCTGTATTTATTGCAACTTTTAGGCCAGATGCAGCAATAATTACCGGACGTTCTATTTGGGTGAAGACGATAGGATCGCATGGTTGGTGCGAGCACAGCCTACCACTTTTCTCTCCCGGGCGTGGGTATCGCTAGCCTCCCTGGGAGTCCTAGGGGTGCCTGCTCCTATCAGCACCCCTAGCATCAGCCCGCGCTGTTTCTTAAAATTAAAAAAAAAATAAAAAATAAAAAAATCTGGGCGATGTGGTGAGTCTTTATCCATCAGTCATATGCATCTTGGGCAGACTTGCGAGCTTCAACCTCTTTATGAGTCGGCGAAAGTCCAAAATGACACTGTCTGGGACAATCATGCTTTTTTTTTTTTTTTCTGTGGAGTTGTGTATAGCGAACATGACAAGTTGACAACACACACGCATGCATGCACCCACTGCGCCCACGCACCCACGTACATACGGGTCATGGATGTTGTAGTGAAAGCCCTTTCAGATTGGCTTTCACTGCTATCGCAGTACAGTGCTTTTTTTTTCTGTCTTCCTTTCTCTTTTTTGTTTTGGCGGGGAAGGGGAAGGTGCGGGAGGGCTGGATGTTGGGGACAAAAGTTTGCGATGTACCCAGTATTCCTTTGGAAGCATCTGTCCGACTCCGTCCGGATTCGAATTCAGGTCTGCATTTTTCAGAAGTTCATAGTTGTATTCCTTTCAAAGCATGTCATGGATTGGATCACCGTTAATGCATTCAAAATTTTTGGATTCATTTCTGGATTCATTTCTAAGATTGAGAACATTCTCAATTGACTATGAAAAACTTTTTGGCTTTTTCAAAGACTCTTAGGAAGAAAAGCTATATGACCTGCAATTGCTACAGTGTAGCCTCCATTTATTGAATTTAAAAAAAAAAAAAAAAAAAAACACCTTTCAGTTTACAGTTTAGTAATTTACGCTAGTTCCGTTTTCAACTTTTCATAGTTCGTGCGAAATTTTCTGACTTAAGTTATGCTTCGATCATGGCTTTTTTTCGCAGGTGTCCTCGGGTCGAGCACGACTTTGTGTTCGAGTACCAGTACATGGAGGATGGAATCGAATTTGGCAGTGATCAGGGAGGAGGTAGGCCACATGCAGGAGACATACCTCCCCCTTCCTCTCGCCTTAGCTTCACCTCCCGGCCATCTGCCAAAGGCGGACAGAGCTTTCTCCCCTCTCTTCTATCTCCACTCATCTCTCCTGCTGCATCTGTGCCTGCCTCCTTTGGAGCGCGTTCTTGACGTAAAAAATAATAACCATCATGCCAAACCTAGATAACTCAGAATCTGCGTGAGCGCAGTTCATCCGTCTCTCGTTCTGATGCTTTTTTTTTTTTCCCCCTTTTGTTCGAAAGTTTTTTTTCTGATACTATGGAAGTTCGAACTCGTCATCTCTGTCAGCGAAGCTTCTGGAATTTAGTAATTTACTAATTTCGTTTTTTTCCTTTTTCTTTTATTCTTTTTTTTTTTTTTTTTTGGGTTGACAAACAAACAGAACCTTATGGTCCCGGCTCCTTTTCCATTCTGGGGAATTGTTTTTTTGAAATTTTTTCTCTTTCTTATCGAGTATATTGCAGAGTTTCCCTGCCTTCTGAGCCCTTTCTTCTTCCTTTCAGAAGGAAGCACCTGCACTCAACTCTTCCAAGTAGTATTTTTCGACAAGAGGTGTTTTGTGGCAGGGAGGATCTCAGACGACTTGCACAGCCTTTCTTTTCCCCTAGGATTTTCGGAGGGACGTATCTGACCGCAATTACCGCCAAATTTCTGTCCAAAAAGTGTGAGTATGCCCCAAGAGCAACCCCTCCTCTCCCCCCCCCCC